GGAACCTCCAATTTGACTAAATCGGATCCTAACTGTTCTAACTACGATTACACCTTCCTATTTCCTAATTAGATTTCCTAAAAATTGTATAATGTAATAAGCGCTGTAACATAATTAACATTTCGCAATGTATTTTTTTACTTTCTATTGACATCCCGTTAATAACCACGGAAAGTCCGCCGTGACAAAAAAGATGCAAAGTAATATGGACACTAGCGCGCAGCGATAAAGTTTTATTTAGCTTGCGTGTGCCATTTATCTGATTAATAATAATAATGTAGGCTATTAAACGTCGATAAGCAGTCGACATTAAAGGAGTGCAACTTCTGTACGTAGTACTATTGTGTTGTTTTCTCTTTGTTTTTTTCTAGTCCTTTTATTTTTACACGTTAGCACGTGTGATACAGTTCGCGGTTTCTGCGCCACTAAATAGAATTCTTACAATTTGTGTGAATTTGAGTTCAACACATTCCGTGCGCATATGACTCATCTACCTTAATATACACATACTACACTATCACTGGTTATAACCCTTAACCACGGTTTTATACTGTGCATATAAGACGATGTTTCATTTTTGGTAATAATTTATAACATTGTTAGTGAGTAATGCTCGTGTGTCAACATTTATTTTTATTTGACGGCTTCGTGGCGCAGTGGCTTAGCAATGAGTTACAGCGCTAAGGGCCGCGGGTTCGAATCTCGCACGGAACAAGTTTTTGCACGGCCTACAAATAATTGTTTCGAGTCTGGATGCTTGTCCTTGTGAAATTTATGCATGTAAACTGCCCCCATGATACAGGAGAAATTCCTAGTGTGGAGTTAAATTTTTTTAAATAATAAAAAGTAAATTAAAATAATTATACATGTTTGTACAAGTCTGCTAGTTAGGTACAATTCTTATCGCTGTGCCACATCCTCCATGACGGGAACTCGCTTGCATTACTCAGGGTATAGGTCAGAGCGTTATCGTGTAGTGTAATAACAATTAATCATGCATTATTGTTTTAAAATATATACAAGGAAGGACAAGTCTCTTTTTACCGACTTCAAAAAGGAGGAGGTATTCAATTCGACTGTATGTTTTTTTATGTCACCTCAGAACTTTTCTTTGGGTGACCCGATTTTGATGATTCTTTTTTATCTGAAAGCTAGTACTTCTCGTGTGGTCCCATACAATATTATTTATTTATTTATAATATTTAATCAAGATCCGACTTGTAGTTTTTGAGTTATCCTTAATAATGCGTATTTAATTGACTGTTGTTCTCATTTTAACTATATTGGAGTCGGTTGCACAAAATTTTTAATTTTACCACTTGTTAAAATTAATCTTAAGCACCTCTAATGTGTTATAGAAAGTGTTTAACATGCATGAAATTGCACATAAAAACATTGAAGACTCTTTACAAGAAATTACGAATATTTCTGCTTGAGTTTCTAACCCGTAGCCAGCCCGCCGTATCGTCACCCTTCAGCGTATTCAAACGCTTTACCACTGCAGTTAGGGTTGTCAGGTCTTAAAACCGAAAAGACGGAAAAAGACCCTCGAGCTTAGCCGGACATTTTGTTAAAAAGGCCGGAAAGCCTTAAGTTTTTGGTCTCAGTAAAACGACATTTTTTTTTAAAGTACTTCAATGCTTTTTATCATTAACCATAAAATCTTCTTTCTAATGAAATAAAAACAATCGAATAAATCAGTCTTCTTTATTATTAATCATTTTATTCATTACAAGATTGATTTCAATAATTGCAATAGTATGGATGTAAAGTAAAGTTAAAAGTTACAGCCTATATACGTCCCACTGCTGGGCACAGGCCTCCCCTCATTTCTGAGAGGGTTTTAGGGCATGGAAGTGTCCTCCGCGCTGCCCCAATGTGGGTTGGCGAACTTCACATGTCTTCGAAATATTTTTTTTCTTATTCCTCAGACGAGGAGGTTTCCTCACGATGTTTCCCTTCACCGCCGAGCACGTGGTAAATCAACACTTAAAATTGCAATTAACTATTTCATTGGTGGCGGCGGTGATCGAACCCGGGTTACTCGCGTTCTGTTAAATTTACAATGCGCGTTAACCATCTGAGCTACCACGGTTCTTATAGTATGTATGTAAGTACATGAAAAATGTAAAAAATTGTATAATTGAAAAAGCCCGACAGGCCGGACACCGTCTTATTTGACCGGACACGTAACCAAAAAGCCTGACTGTGTCCGGTTTAATCTGTACGCCTGACAACGCTAGCTGCGGTTTTGAATTTTTAAATGTTTCTTTCAATTTTTTCGACAGCATTGTGTAGTCACTGAACTCTGCCTGAACTCTTATCTTCCCAGAATATGTATTTTCTTTTACTATTCTAACCCAGCGTTAACTATAACCCAACCTGATGGTAAGTGGTGATGTAGCCTGAGATGGTGAAGCGCACTGACTTAACAAAAGCCTATTCACTCTTGTCTTGAAAACACCCACATTATAATCGGATAGAAAGACTGGCAGAAGAAGATTTTACTCTTTGCTGTATAGACGAATGACGAACGATCTCGCAAACCCTTTGGATGCATCGTTTGAATTCGTGGTGGTAAGTCAACAACGAAAGGATGGAGACTGACCTAATGTCTGGTTGTCTGGTGGTATAAGGGACAGGGAGGAAATTAACCCGCTAGCTCAGAAAGAACAGCAAACGATGCGACGCGAATGGCGGGAATTGCAAATTTTTTGCTAACTTGCTAATTTTGCTATATTTTCACTTTGAGATAATATTTATAGATAAAACTTACAAGAATTCTTGTTGAATGTATAAACTATCGAATAAAATTATTTTTGCTGGCTAGAAATGGTAATAAAATTCATAAATTACCCTTTATAGCATAGTAGTAGTATATACTTCGCTTTTAGTGCAAAAATTACTACTAATTTGAATTCTACACTTTTGTTTTTGGAGAAATTTATATAAAAATGTTTTTTTTTTTTTTTTCTTCGTTACTCATACCAAAATATTAAAAAATAAAAAAATAATAATATTTATCTGTATGACATTTCGAACAATATTTCAAATATATTTTTGTGTGAATTTGAAATAAATACAACGTCAAGTTATTGGAAATATGTTATAAAACTATTTTTTAGTTACATTTTACACTAAAAATAAATGAGAATTGGAAAAATAACACATTTTTGACCCAACCGCCAAAATGGGCCTTCTCGATTTCGAAGTACTTTTGGCACTTACTTTTCACTTTTTATGCCACAAATTATATATCTACGTGTTTATTATATTACAAGGAATACAAAAAAGTATAATACTTTCGTTTTTAGTCCAGACACAAATATAAAATTTTATAAAAAGAGGGAGCACCTTCTGCAACGCGACACGTGGAACGCCGAAAGTTCAGACTTCAGAGTGATTTCTTTTTTTTTTCTAAGAAACATTGCCAGGTTATGGTTTAAAATAAAAGAGCATATCTTTGTCTTTTACTATATTATTCATTGCATATTGTCTTTGATTTCGTTTAAAACAAAAAAAATATTTTTTCATAGGACAGTATTTGGTATCAAATTTGATACCTTCCCGAGCCAGCCGTAGGTAATTTTATAATATCGAATAAGAGTATGGCCATGAGCAAACGGGGGTTATGCAATTCCTGCGCACATTCTCCGAAATGCATCCTGTAGAAAACCGAAAGGCTGGCTACTTTGTGCCTGTGTTCGAGGCTGGTAAAATTGGTTGTAATCAGATACAGGTTATCAATAAGCTTCTTAGCACGCCTTTCCATTGAGTCCAAAGGAGCTAGGTGGCATTTTGCAGGCATTTACAGTAATGAGTCCGATATTTGTTCCCTAAGAGGTAACTTGGTATAAGATTTTCTATTACCACATATCATTCACGGGTGTTGGAAAAGGCGACAAAAAGAAACTGAAAGAGGATTTGAGAAGCAGCATTTTCCTGATAGCAACTCAAAGTAATAATTTAAACTCAAAATTGTTCATTAACCTTTGTTAAGCGGTAAAGTGGAACATGTACATGGTACATATGAACAAGTGGTAAAATAAAATATAATGTACAACCGACTTCTATGTTTTTTATGTGTGTACAATACAATACACACATAAAAACATACAGTCGAATTGATGAACTCCTTTTTTTGAAGTAGGTTGATAAAACTTAAGTGTCTGTTTTTGATATATATATTAAGCCCTTTAGAGTTATTTGTATGCATGTAAGACATGAATATCCATTTTCAAAATTTTTGCCTGTCAGTTCAGGTTAGTCATCGGAATGACAAAACCTATTGTAATGAAACTTGACAGAGCAATGCCCGGAGTGATATTTTTTTATAGGATGGGGTGACAAGCGAGCACACAGTCCACCTGATGGTAAGTGGTTGCTGCGGCCCATAGACATCTACACCTATCCTCGATTACAAATTAAAATGCAGATGCGTTATCAGTTGGTGATCTTCTAGTCTACCTAACTCATATATGGGCGGAGGCAGTAGAGTCCAAGGGGGAGACGTTGGCCGTTAGTTTGGACATTGCGAAGGCCTTCCTCTCCTATAATATAGTAAATGAATAATGGCACATTATTAGATGTTACTCAATCGAAGCGGGGTTGCTAGTTAAAAATAAAAATAAAACATGATAAGTTCGCCTACATGTATAATAACAATTCGGCAAACTCTCTTGCTCCAAATTTGTAAACCTGTAATCAGCTGTGGGACATCCGTGGGCTACTTTACTACTTTACTTTTATCTTATGACACAAGAATTTTGCAATAATTCCACAATTAAGTACTCTACTAAATATTCTCTTGGTCTGGGCCTGGATGTTTGTCCTTGTGCAATTAATATAATATGTAAACTGTCTCCATGATACAAGAGACAATCCTAGTGTGGCGGTAACGTAAGGCTGGCATCGTAAACTAACTCATTGCACCCGTTCAAGTTAGATAAAGTTATTAAGTTACAAAGTGAAATAAAGTACTTAATCATTGTATACTACAGGAAAAACCCTCAACACAAGGCGCAGTTCAGCCACCCGAGTGATTCCGATTGGGGTTCGGGGCCGCAAGCGCCGTGCCCTTACGGTCTGGCCTGCGCGCGTCGCGACCCGCGACACTGGCGCGACCACACGCACCCCGACGGCATGCACCCTCCGCCGCCACCAGGTATATATGTACCTTGCACGTACACATACACACACGTATACATACATACACACACACGTACTGCAAGTATACATACACACGTATTGCAGGTATACATACACACACACATACTGCAGGTATACATACACATACACGTACTGTAGGTATACATACACACACACATACTGCAGTTATACATACACACACATACTGCAGGTATACATACACACACATACTGCAGGTATACATACACACTCACGCGTACGGACTGACTGCGCGCGTCGCGACTCCACGCACCCCGACGGCATGCACCCTTTGCCGCCACCAGATATATATATACGCGTACTGCAAGTATACATACATACACACACACGTACTGTAGGTACACACACACACACACACACGTACTGCAGGTGTACATACAAACGCACCCTGCAGGTATACGCACCCTGTAGTTACATTCTTTTTACAATAAGAAAGGGCCACTTTCCGGTAGTAGACTTATACGAGATGATAAAAAATAAAGATTATATATAAAGATTACAGCAGGCTGTTCAAGCGAAATTGTATTTTCACGAAAAACCAGGGTTATTGTAAAAAGTTATTAGATACGTTACATTTGATTTGTTTTTATTTTTATAGAATGGAATGAAAAAAGAGTACAGTCTATCTGATGGTAAGTAGACGCTGTGGCCCATAGACATCTACGTCTATCCTCGATTAAGAATCGAAATGCAGATGTTTTGTTACCCCTGAGAACTAAGATGGAAAACCTTGTTTCCAGTTAAAGAGGCTCCAGTTCTCTACACTCACCATACGAAATACAACAGCGTTAAGCTGCTATTTTACGCTGGTATTCTGTGAGAGCGTGGTTCTTTCTAGTTCGAGCCGACTTATTCGTGCTACAACCATAATATACCTTCAGCATGGCTCTACGACGATGAAATGATTAAATAAATATCCAGTAAATATGTATATTCGAATTTCACTACTGGTGTCCTGTTCTCATTTCTTAGATGGTTATGGAGCGATAAGTCCGCATCGCTACTCCAGTGCCTGTTAGCAGATTTTACATCAAATATTTTACTACTCAGACGTGCAGGTTTCCTCAGGATATTTACCAAACTTAAACGTCTCTACACATCCTAACTGGTTGCGGACCCTTAATGCGCAAACGTAACACTCATCTGGGACACTATCTACTCCGCCCAGAAGAAGTGAAATTGCTCACGCCTAAGTAACTCCTTCTATTCGTTGAAGACATAGGGCTTAGCTGTGAACTATAGCCATAGCAGCTATCACAATAGATCTTATAGGTCGCAGTGATACTGGTCTCTTTCCCTAGACCAGCATAACTGCTCGTATATAAAAAAAAACCTTCACCGCATGTGGTAACCGTTACGACTCATCAAGAGTCCACTACTGAACATACATAGGTTCGCCCCATAGATTACCTCAATGGGGGGGGGGGGAGTCTTAGCCGTATTAAGCATGTAAGACGTAGGTCCTGTGCCTGATCTCCCTCCGGTCGTGTCGGATTACTATCCCATCGGACAGGGTTTGAGAGAATAGAGAATGCACCTGTGCTTTTGCATACACTCTGGCTTATAGTGCCAGTCCTGTCCTGCACAGATGGCTGGTTTTCATTGAGACAGACCGCCGTGACCGAAATTCGGTCTGGAGGACATTACTATTAGCCATAGTTGCCAGACAGACGAGTTGGCAACTGCAGTTTCTTTATTTTTATTCAGCTGTTAGAAGGAAGATACTGCTGCCCATCTCCTGGTGCAATTTCCCTCCGTAGACTTTCGGATATTTTAGGCCGCGCATGCTAAATCACCAATTAACAATTTCTATCGTAGCCGGTGGGGATCGAACCGCAGTTGTTCGCGTACTCTGAAATTTATGACCAGCGCTTAACTTCTGAGCTACTTGAGCTTAACAAGTAATATATATGGTCGTTAAGCGATCGTTGGTGCTGTGAAGCACTGGAAACATCGGGAAAGACGACTTTATCTGCCACTGGGGCGGCACCATTTTGTAATGACGTGAAACATTCAAGAAATTTCATACCTAGCGGATAAGTTAATTTGATGTAAATGTGCAGAGATTAATGTTTCTTTCTGAAATATTAGTTTTATTTCTTATTGGTTAGATTAGAAATGGATAGAAAATACTATGGATTTACTCGAATACTCCACATGGCATAAGGTGTTTGGTCTAGATAGATCGGACCAAGAAATTAATATGTAAAAGTAGAAGGTAGCCTTAGTTAACTAAGACATCGGGACGTCAAACAGCTCAGCCACATCCCCCCCCACCCCCGCCACCGTGACCGTGGGCGTTGGAACGTGCCCGAAACGTCGGGAATCAAAAAGTTAAAATTAAACGCGATAAAGTGCGTTACTACGGATGTTTCTAAAAGTAGAAGAATTGAAAAAAAAATTAAAAATGTTTAAAAAATTTAGAACACAGCATTGAGGCATCGTTTTGTGTAATATACGTACACTAGAACCTACTTATAAAAAAAACTAAAAACCGAAAAGTATTTATTTAAAACGTAACTTTTCAATTATGACACTGCGTGATAAATAATTTCGCCTAGCGACATCTGGTGAGCGTAAAATAAAAAAGTTATAAGAATCGGTTAAATTAGTATTAATCAATGTACATATAGTATTCGCGTAAATATAAAAAGCAATTATTGTATTGTATTTGTTCCAGGTATGAAGAAAAGAAACACCCATATCGTTCAAAGGCACGGCAAAATAATCTACGTAAACGCGAATACAGTAAATTTCTATGACGATCACTTCGAAGCCGAGGATTCGGACGGAGAGAGTGTCGATTATGATTATGAATTCGATTAAACATATTTAATATAATGGAAAGTTTTAAAGTTTAGTTTTAAAAAAATTATGTTAATTAAACAAACGTTATTGTATTTAGTATTTTCTTTGTTTATACCCCATTAGTATAGATGAGTTAATTATGTGTCTTTAATATCTTTGTGGTTTTGATACTACAGCTTATCAGAAGTGCACTACTGAAAATTGGCCTCCCCCATAAATTTCATCATACCCCCATATTTGCCATAGTTGCCACCAGTTGCCACGCTTTGCTGACGAGTATTTTTACTCTTTAGTTAGACGCTGGTGTCTATCTCTTGATTTGTTTCCCTGTCGGTGTCGCCTCTTACGACACCCACGAGACGATATGGGATAGTGGCACAAAAATCTAAATATACCTTGTCGCCGCACATGTGACTCGTAGGCCACAAGCGCGCGAGGAGCGTTTGTTTCGGTCACCAGTACTATTTCGGACGCAGAGACGTAAAAATGGTGTTTTGAAGCATATCCAACTGCGGAAATTCCTCCACAACTTGCAAATTTTCAAATAAAGCGATAACATTTCATAAATAATTTAGTATAAATAATTTAATAATATTTTATATCGTTAACAGTTTATCGGTGATTATCTGTTTGTTTGTACTTTTAAATTACTTGATAAATTTTAATCAGTTATATTGTAAGGATAAGTAATTATATTGTAAGGATAGTAGTCTTAATTCGATCTGTAAGAAACCGGGAAACTGAAAAGTAGCAAACAACATAAAGTCAGTTACAGATCTTTGAAACTAATAAAAAATTATAAATATGTCACCCATACATATATTTATTCGTTTGCTGTTTGTGTAATGTTGTATTCATTTTATTTATACATCTGTTTATTTAATACAATGCTTTTATTGCAAGTTACCAAAAGATCCGGTTATTAAAGATAAATGGATATATTTATTCTTAACGTATTATTATTTTCCTTTTTTTTCTAATTATAAAACGTCTAAAAGCTAAAGCTTAGACTAAAAGCGTCTATTACTGAGACAATTTCAGTTAATTAGTTATATATTGGTGTGAGACTCCTGGAAGATCAACGACGCTTAATAGAAAGTTATCGAAACGTGTGTTGCGCTGAACTATGCCCAAGTGAGAGCGAGTGCGCAATGTCATTCTCTGTTTTTCGAACACTTTAATTATTGGACCGAGTGGCCTCCTGAGATTTTGCGTTTTTATAAAATATTCCTTAACGCAATAGTTTACAAATTAATCTTTGTTGCATGAATGCTAGAGATATTTGTAGGCGTAATTGTGTATTTATTGTTTGTCTATGTGTGAGAGCTACGGCCTAGCGACACGCGTCCCGTTATTAAAAGACAGTAGAAGGCATTTCTATTGTTTTATTATTTACATTTCTGTGGGTAGTGGATATTCTTAAAACTCCACTACACGGTCAAGGCATGGTTGTTTCGATTATGAACCTTATGATAATACAATACATCATTTTTAATAATAAAATTGAAAATTGAAATAGTCACTATATAAAATAGGAAATAGGCGTTCTTGGTATATTTATTTTATGTAAATTTTTTTTAACGTTACACTGGGATTTTCTCCTGTATAGTAGAGGCAATTTACAAACATTAATTGCACAAGGGTAAACATCCAGATCTGGAATAATAAAAAACATGCTTCAGTTACCAACAGTTATCTTGTTATTGTTCTCCATATTATGTTATGCATCATGTGATTAATCAGGGCACCATTTATAATGCTCGGGCAATATGATAAGTCAAATCGAGCCAAACCTTACCTAACCTAACCTAAATTATTTTTTTACTCTGCCTAATAATTAACGGACTTCATTCTCAAAGCTCGCTCAATATAATTATTTCTATAGTTTTTATCATATTGCGTACTCGTATTGGGCATTTATATACGTGGTAGATGCTGCAGCTATATTATGGTTGTAGCAGGAACAGGTCGGCTCGACTGTGGTTCTGCTATGTTTCGTATGATGAGCGTAGAAAAACTTTACATCAGGTGGGCTATGTTTTCGCATGACACCTTTATTCTATATAAAAATGTTCACACTGTCTAGATATTACGAATGATGTCTTATTAAAATTGAGTAGCGTTTGAATACTTGGGCATCTATATTCTTGTAAGAAAATTGTATCTGCGGCAGGTAAAAGGAAAAACAGAGTGAAGAATAATACTGGCAAGGACTCACCAGTAGAAGAACTAATCGTAACCGGAAAAAGAGCACGGAAAATTGTGCAAAGAGAAGTGTGGAGTGGAAGTGAGTCTGAAGAAGATCCGTATCATACCGACGATTCCGATGACTGGAACCCTCCGAGCGACGTATCCGAAAGTCAAGACTATTCACAGATTATTTGATTAAGTTTTTTTTTTGATAAAATATGTTTTGAATATTTTATTTTCCTTTTATTTCAACTTCCTTGTGGAATCGACTACGTCTTAGGGACCTTCAAGAAAAGCGTCTACTCTTTTTTAAAAGGCCGGTAACGCATCAGGAATTCCCCTGGTGTAGCAGTTGTTCATGAGTGGCGGTAGTCACCATCACGTGAGCCGCTTGCTCGTTTGCTCATATAAAAGAAAACTGTGACACATAATCATAACAGATTTGATATTTTTAATATTAATAAAATTATATTTAAAGCAAAATAAAAATATGAAACGTAAGATGCGGACTTTTAACTCTGAGAGTCGTGGGTTTGAATTCGCCATTTGACTACTATGGTGGACCACTTCCACTCTTGACACAAACGGTTGGTTAACGGGAGTAGGTACTAGTAATGTTAATAGCGTTACTTGGAAGTAGTGATTATATTCTCTTTGCTAGTAGGTATTCTTTTTTTTAAATATCACACTGATCATGACCTGTGATGATTCTCGCCAGAATACTAGGTACTATGATCTAGGATAATCACAGCTCATACGTCTGCAACATTTTAGACTAGAAGAGAGATTTCCAGAAGAAGGTGGAAACCGAATTGAAAATCCCATTACATTCATACATTACATACAAACTGATACAAATCAAGTTACCTATTAATGAAGGCAATTTTCCTTAGTTAACAATATTCAAAGTCTAGAGACTAGCGATCTGCACAGAACAACCCGAGCGTATGCGCGTTCATACACTCTGGCACTATATTCCTGTTCTGCACTCATAATTAGCCGCCGTTGGGGCCTTCTGTCGTTGTTGACATTCCGACCTCCAGACCGACCGAAATTTAGTCTGAATCTAAATCAAGTCTTTACATTTAAGAAACAACATTAAGAATACCTATAAAATTAAAATGACTTGGAGTATAATCAATAGAGAAACTGGAAAGAGATTACACAACTCAAATTTTGAATTAAATGTTAACAAGAATGCAACAAAATCAGATCAAGACGTTGCAACAGCTTTTGAAAAACATTTAAACGACATTCACATTCATTACAAAGTCACTGAATTCCTCCCCTACTGTCGCCGAGTCGAACAAAATGTAGAAGTCTGTAAAAAACAAATTTGCATTTCATAAAATATTATCAGAATATATTGTAAAATATTTCAAAACTATTGATGTTAAGGAAAACAGCAGATCGATGAGGTATTCTGTCAAAATTATTGCGTCTATAATAGATGCAATCGCACCCCACCTTGCTATTATTTTCATCTATTTTTTACCTGATGACCTTTTTTTTTTTTTACATGGGGAAATGCCTACGCATACCCGCCTCGCGGGGGCATTATGTCGGACTCGCACCGACTAAAACCCCATGGTGTTCCACCTTTGTCGCATATTGGCAGGGCTACGGGAACGCTTTCGCACACATCCGCGCCCCCATGGCAGCACCTCCTCGGGAGAGGAAAATTCCTCCCCGTTCTCCTTCCCAGGTAAGGCGCACCAGAACACATGGCGCGCCTTCCTCCACGGCCTCCAATTACGTCTGTGCAACAGACACCCCCGCGTCCGATGCACAAAGGCCATGGGGCCAGGAAAAACGAGCACTTAGAAGCACCAGCCTTCCCGACCCCAGCGGCGGATCTGGTCCATGGCTCCGTCGCCAACCAAGATTCGGCTGCGGAGGGTAGGGAGAGCGGCGCCTCGCAATACCGACAATCCTCTCCCCCCGCAGCCCCACCACCACCGCATCAACGGTGCGGCCCCGTTTGAGTCGCGAAGGATAGGGCGAGTGGCGCATCGCCATACCAACACTCCTCTTCCTCCGCGACTCCACCTCGGCTGCAGCGGTAGAGGGTGCGCGACTCCCCACTCGCTGCAGTCCACCAGCACACATCCAAAGTGGGCTCCCCAAGCCCACTCGGAGTGGCCACCTCAGGCCGGCCCTTCACCTCGGGCCAGCCACGTGGGTTCCTCTTTGTTCACCGTGGGAGACCAAGCCACGGCTATTAAGCCCCCCCGCCACGACAAGGCGGGAACCCGTTCGGGGGGGTTACCTGATGACCTGAAATACAGGTTCGTCACCTAGTTTAGGCATCAGTCTCTCACATTAATTTGTGCCTTTTTTTGTCAAAATTCGATATTGTTAATTCAATGTGAAGAGAAAAATAAATTATTATTATTGTTGCGCCCTATAATTAACGCCTAGTATGTGGCGGCTGATTATTAGCGTCATCTGGTGTCAAGTAGCGGAAATAGGAGCGTCAAGATCTTTCTAGAACTCCCACTAGCGCCATCTAGTATCGAATGGAGGAACTAAGCTTTCTAGAAAGCCCCCACACTCGAACTTTCTACACCTGGTCGGTCGGGGCCGGTATTTGCTGGAATATTCTGGATGTTTCGGTGGAAAAAGCCTTGTAATGTGATAAAAATTAAGTAAGCAATAAAATGGTCCCACGGCTGTGGAAACGTGGACTCGCTCCCATGAGATATTCATTTTAGAATTCATTCATAGAATTCGACTTACGCAGCACTCCCCCCTTCGCGTGTGAACTGTATGTTAGGTAGTACATAAATTCCAACTTGTTTTTCTGACAATATACTTTAGACCACTTTACGAGTAACATGCCTTTTATTTGAACACCTGAAGAACCCATCATATTACATGGCGACAATGCCAGGCCCAAGAAAGAAGTCCTAAGAAATCAAGAAAGGAGGCTCAAGTAAAAAAAAAACAGAAGATGGGAAAAATCCAATCTAAAGAACAAGTAGTCATAGCCCAGAACGCCAACGGAGCAGCATCATCCAAAACCAAACTACAACAGTAAGATTTAAAATACTACACTTTGGAAACCCTAACAATCATTATCGTCCCTCTGGTAGCTGCTGCCATCATGTACTACGCCATAAGTACGCATAAAGTGCCGTTAAGCATCCATCAGAACATTGAGACGAGAATTGAACGCCATCTAAATGGACAACTTAAACCGCCCAGCCCGCATTTAAGCCGCGCCACGTACATCAAGAGGTGTCCAGGGAAAAACCCGGCCCACATCAAGAGGTGTCCAGGGAAATACCCGGCCCAATTCAAGAAGATGACAGCATAACCTGGAGCCCCAACGACCACCTTCGTGCCCGGCCCGTACTCGAAACGCACCGATGCACACACCTCGTCGCCGAAGTCCCATAAAAATCGAATAGGTTAACCAAGTAAGCCGTACTCTGTCCTTTTACCAATAAAATAAGATAATATTTTTATTATGTCTGCTAGTATTTTAACGTTATGTCCTTGTTAAAATTGCAAAAAATACAAAATGATTTAGAGGAAATTAGAAATTATTTAGTTAAAATCGGCCCCGCTCGTGGAGAATGTTCAGAAACTGCTAAAAATAAAGTTACTACAGCAACAAAATTGTACAGTATAGTTTGGAGTATATTTCATCTCAAATTAAGGTTAAAATCGAAAATCTGAGATAAGTAATGAGAACTTGCGGCACATAAATAAGTGTATAGAAAACATACATTCCACCTATAGGAAAATTATTCTTTTATTGCAAATAGAACCTTTTTTCAGCCAATTGTCACAATGGATACTGAAAGCTTTGATTTGAAAACCGCAATTTACTTACTTCCGATTATGAATAACCAGGAAAACGTAACTAACCAATTGATAGACAGTATTCTATTGTACAGTAGTATGCTTAATAATAAAGGTAATGAGCAGCTAATAAACTTTGTATTACAAACCAGGCTCTCAGTGCAAAGCTGCGTCTTCAAAATAATTATAAAGACGTGAACTCTCTTGTTACGGATATGCGTAAACACCTGCTTCAAAAGAAATCTGCAGTAGCCTTACAAACACAACTTTTTAGCACCAAACAGGGTCGTAGGTCTAATGGTGGTTAATATAGCGCATAGCGCCATATTATAGCGCGCTATCTCTCCATAACACATAGCGCGTGCTATGTAAGTAGTCGCCACAACGCTATTGCGCTATGGCGCTATTAAGTATCAATATCTAGCGGCAACTAGTTCTAGCAGCAGCGCTGTTGGGAGAGGACGTGTGACGCAAATTTCATCTAATAGCACGCAGTTCATCGCGCACGACCTAATTTAGTGTTAGACGTTATTTAGTTAGTGTATACAGTATAGTATAAGTGATCGCAGGACACAGTTGTCTGCTATAAAAGAAGCCTAACTAATGTTTTTAAATGTAAATAAAATATAGATACAAAAATGTATATAATAGTGTATGTAAATAGTTTATTTTTACAAATACAATCAATAAACTTTTAAATACACAGTTATTTGGTTTATAATTTATATTAAGGTTAAAATAACGTTTACATCAATTATAATAAAAAAATTTATAGAAAGTCGTAAGCCTGAAAAGTACGTAAAAGCGTTCATTGGTTTTTCTTTACCGCTTTATTTTATTTTAGTCTAAAATGCGACTTATTCCGAAATAATGTTATTATATAGCACGCGGTCTATCCAATAAACGACATGTAATGTAACGTGCTACGAGATATAGCGTGCTGCAAATCTTAACGCGCTTGCCGACCTCCTACACGCTTTCTTGTAAATAGCGCGCTATAACATAGCGTATTTAATAGCGCGCTAGAAATTTATAGTTTATAGCCTGTAGCGTGCTATTGATTTATAGTCGTTTTGAACAACTTTACGTAGGTCCATTGAAAAATTCGGCTCCGAAATTGAGCAACTTTTCGTCAATTTAACATTAGCTCAATCTGACTGGGAGGACGGGAAATATGATACCTTACGTCCATTAAATGAAAAAATGGTGAGATTGAGCACAATCATCGCATCTCGCAATTTCGTTTCCCTCACAGAGGCCATTCAAGCAGCAGTCGATGAAAACACAATTAGTTTTAATGGTGAACAGGTGATGAATTTTAGGCAACACATTAGTAATAGGCGCGGTCGTGCTAATTACTAATGTGTGGAATTACAACCATCATG